GTGATCCACCTGCCTCAGCCTCCCGAAGTGCTGGGATTACAGGCATAAGCCACCGTGCCCGGCTGACCCAGACTAGTCTTAAACTCCTGAACGCAAACGATCTGCCCACTTCGGCCTCCCAAAGAGCTAGAATTACAGGAGTGAGCCACCATACCGGCCAATTTATTCCGTTTCTAAAGGTGCAAAGTTTAACTGCAACTTAGAAACAAAGTGATGAAACCATTTACAGTGAACATTGCTGTTGCGTCCCCAACCTCCATCTCACCCTTTTTGAGCAGCAACAGTATAATCTGGAAAACTGACCTCACTCCAGGAGTGAGCCTATAAATTCTAAGGGTAACAGTGACTGATTTGGGGATGGGCAGGTGACCCAATTCTGGCCAATTAGACATGAGAAAAGGTTCTTGAAGGTCTCAACAAGAATGAGCAAGAATGCTCAGTCTCAGAAGAATGCAAGGGAAAGCTGGCCTGCCCAGGCCCACCTTCTCCCCAACTCATCCATCGGCTGTGGCCAACACATGGATGTAAGCTCAGCCCACAATGCTGCAGGCAGTTAGTTGTTTCACAGTCAGAAGTGAGACAAGACGCATCTGATGTATCAGTATGAATAAACACTTGATCCTACAGACACTGAACATGTATATTTTCTTTTATATTCAGGGAAAACATTATATACTATTACCTCTGCCTTTCCGAGCTGTGCTTTCTTCTACCCAATACACTTTTGGAAGACCTTTGAGAAGTCGCAGAAGGTAAGGAACCACACAATCTTTGTGCTAAAAAATAAGAAGAATAAATTAGATTTAATAAAATAAGTGATTGGTAGCTTTTTAGCCCAGATTAAGCCCAAAGCAAAGCATATCCACATCCTAATCATCTCAGAGATTCTCCAAGGATAATGTAAAGAGCATGTAAATTCACATGGCATCACTCCATTCCTGTTTTCACACTGCAGAGTCCAGAGGCTGTCCCATCAACCTGTACCACAGGAGCCTAAGGAAGGGTTCACACCTGCCTTCTGGAGCAGAGGGTCCAGCCTGCTCAGGCCTCCTCTGGGGGTTGGGCATCTCCAGAAGGTACATGTGTGTACGCACTCAAAGCTGTCTTCAGTGAGAATGGTTTAGACCCCCAAAATCCATCCAACAGCCCCAGAATAAGATCCTAGGGATGGAGAGAAGCTCATAGTATGGGCATCTCAACTGGGTGATGCTTTTTTCTGTTCACGTCCCTTGTCCATATTCCTTGCTTTTTTTTTTTTAATTTTCTACTTCATGTTTCCTCTTGCTCTTCTCAAGTTGAGCATCAGACTTTATAGCCAACATAAGCCCAGTGAAAAATTTTACTTTCCTCTAATTTCTGAACTAGCCAATCAACACCAATATACAGCTTCATAATCTTCCATCATTGGCTTTTGGAGCTATTTCCCTAATTACAGTTGTTCCAGTTAAGGATTAGTTGTGCTCCAGAGAAGAAGTGTGCTCCAGAGAAGAGGGGTACTATTTGACGTTTTGAAATGCTGACAAACTACGTGGTAGTTTTAAAAACATGGCTGCAGCCAGGCACAGTGGCTCACACCCGTAATCCTAGCACTTTGGGGGACCCAGGTGGGTGGATCACTTGAGCCCAGGAATTCGAGACCTGGCTGGCCAACATGGCAAAACCACGTCTCTACTAAAAATACAAGTATTAGCTGGGTGCAGTGGCACATTCCTGTAGTCCCAGCTACTCGGGAGGCTGAGGTGGGAGGATTGCTTGAGCATGGGAGGTGAAGACTTCAGTAAGTCAAGATTGTGCCACTGCACTCCAGCCTGGGCGAGAGTGAAATCCTGTCTCAAAAAAAAATTAAAACATAAAAACATGGCAGACAGTGGCCGGGCATGGTGGCTCACACCTGTAATCCCAGCACTTTGGGAGGCCAAGGTGGGCAAATCATGAAGTCAGGAGATCGAGACTATCCTGGCTAACACAGTGAAACCCCATCTCTACTGAAAACACAAAAAATTAGCCGGGCATGGTTGTGGGCACCTGCACCTGTAGTCCCGGCTACTGGGGAGGCTGAGGCATGAGAATGGCATAAGTAAACACGGGAGGCGGAGCTTGCAGTGAGCCTAGATGGCGCCACTGCACTCCAGCCTGGGCAACACAGCGAGACTCTGTCTCAGAAAAATAAAACAAAACAAAACATGGCAGAAAGCACGCAGCTTCCACCTGGCTCTTTTTCAGGACATTTGTCCTGGAACCTAGACACTATACTATGATAAGACCCATGAATGAGACTTCAGGTGATTCCAGCCCCCAGCTTTTGAGCCACCCAACTGACGCTAAATGGAGTCAATTGAGCCCTGTTTAAATTGCAGATTCATGAATCAAAGAAAACAATGTATTAAGCACTAAGTTTGGGGGGAGTTTGTTATACCATAACAGATAACCAAAAACAAAGAACTTTATCAAAAACAAAACAGTTTTTTCTCTTGACCATAAAAAGGAACTGGCTAAGATATCAGTTGAGGATCCTAGTGTACTGACAGGAACAAAACTCCATAAGGCCTGAATCACATGGCCTCCTGCAGAGGAAGTGGCTCCAGGTGACTCTTTTCTATATAAACTGTGATGACATTAGCAGTACAGGGTGAGTAAAACCACCTCAGCTCCTCTGGCCACAGCTGCTACCATGGCAGCCCACTGCTGGGACCAGAAGGAGGTTAATGCACAGCCCATCCTAGAGGGAAGCAAGGAATATAAGCACCAGGTAAACCAAGGTGGTCCCTAGGGCTTTCTCAGGGGGCTGGCAAAGCATGCTAGGCTTCTCTCCTAGTATATATGAGGCCAGTGGGCTGCCCTGGACATACAGGCAAACTCTATGGTCCAAGGGACAATGTCACATGCCACCTGGGACCCTGCTAGTCCTTACCCAGAACCTGAATGACACCAAAAGTAACTTGTACTCATCTATTCGTTGTCATCTTAAGAAGTCTAATACAAGTACAATACTTTCAGGACTTACAAGTAAATCTATAAAGAAATGTGTTTGTCAAAGATATTATCAAGTAATCCACATTTAAACAACAATAGTTTCTTAAAAAATTTTTTTTAATTCTTTTTTGCCCTTTATAATTCATTTTATATTTATGTAGGATGTGGTAAACAGAAAAAGTAAAAATGGTTTTCTTTCTTTTCACGAAATAAACAGGCTGGGTACGGTGGCACATGCCTGTAATCCCAGCACTTTGGGAGGCCTAGGCATGAGGATCACTTGAGACCAGGGTTGGAGATCAACCTAGCATATGGAGATAACCTATGGGCAACATAGCAAGACTCTCATTTCTACAGAAAATTTAAAAATCATATCCATGACTATAAACTCAGCTGCTCAGGAGGCTGAGATGGGAGAATCCCTTGAGCCCAGGAGTTCAAGGCTGCATTAAATAATGGCTGTGCCACTGCACTCCAGCCTAGGCGATAGAGTGACACTCTGTTTCTAAGAATAAATAAACAAATACATAGCAGAAGAAAAGCCAAAATGCAGCTTATGTATCTAATTTTGGTTTTTTATGTAACCTTGATCAGGTAACCTATTTAATTACTAAAATACTGCTCTATAATTAAAATTCTTATTTTTTTCAAATGTATAAATATTGTCAAAATATTAACGCTTATTAGAGCAAAATTTCCAGGAGACGGAAGCAACCTTTTCTAGATAAATATTCAAATGTCTAACATCTTTATTTACCTAACACAGCATAATTAACTTGGAATTTAGAAATAGTATCTAGTAATGATAAAAATAAATAGATAAATAAAAGATTCAATATCCAATGATAAATCGTTTGTTTCAATTAGCTTTGATAAATATAAAAATATAGTCTCAAAAAACAAACAAACAAAAACAAAAAAAAATACACACACAAAACAGTCACATTATTTTTTCGTTGGAGCTACAGGGCTAGTTTTTAAGTCCTTATTAAAAGGTACATTGAGACCAGGCATGATGGCTCACACGTGGTTCATGCTTGTAATCCTAACACTTTGGGAGGCAGAGGCGGGCAGATCACCTGAGGTCAAGAGCTTAAGACCAGCCTGCCGAACATGGAGAAACCCCGTCTCTACTAAAAATACAAAAAAATGAGCCGGGAGTGGTGGCTGGCACCCGTAATCCCAGCTACTCAGGAGGTTGAGGCAGGAGAATCACTTGAACCCTGGAGGCAGGGGTTGCAGTGAGCCAACACTGCACCACTGCACTCCAGCCTGGGCAACAGAGCAAGACTCCATCTCAAAGACAAAAAAAGAAGATACAATGATACCTACTCTACAAGTTTATATACATAATCACAATTTTGAAAAAGACATTATATCAAAATTACCTAAAATGATTTTGTCCTTTTGGAAGGAGAAATACAGTACCCGTGAGTCTGAATGATGAGCATTTTACCTGAGCTTGAAAACCAAACCTACCCTGGAAGGCATACAATTACTTCTCAAACCATTTTGACTTACTCTGTGGCACATAATAACAAACAAACAAAAACCACTTTTTTTTTACAACATAATATATACACATAATTCCAAAGAACTCAAATTTTCTAAGAAGGTTTACATTTGGAAGTCTCATTTCCACCTTGTCCTACCCTCCTCACTAACCACTTTAATTAGGTTCAAATGTATTCTTCTAGTAATGTTTTAGGTAAATATAAGCAGATACAAACTTAAATGCTCACTACACCCCTATTTACAGTGAAGAAACTTTTAATTTCATGAAGACTTACCTGAAGATCAGATTCAATCAGAAAAATGCCCAATGCAATCACTGCATCTCTCCGTCTTTCATCTAACTGGAAGATCCCATGGAAATCCACTGGACACATGCAAAGAAGCTTTTGGACCTAGAAAGTAAGACCCCCCAAAAACAGCTCCAGAAAACAGAAAACCACATTCAAAGTAAAGCAAGCTGAGTATAGTGTCACATGCCTGTAGTCCCAGCTATTTAGGAGGCTGAGGTGGGAGGATAGCTTGAGTTGGGAGTTTGAGACTAGCCTGGCCAACACAGTGAGACCCTATCTCTTAAATAAATAAAAATAAAAAATAGGCCAGATGCAGTGGCTCACACCTGTAATCCCAACCCTTTGGGAGGCCAAGACAGGTGGATTATCTGAGGTCAGGAGCTCGAGACCAGCCTGGCCAACATGGTGAAACCCCATCTCTACTAAAAATACAAAAATTAGCCAGGTGTGGTGGCATGCGCCTGTCGTCCCAGCTACTTGGGAGGCTGAGGCAGAAGAATCACTTGAACCCAGGAGACAGAGGTTGCAGTGAGCCAAGATCGTGCCACTGCAGTCCAGCCTGGCAAGACTCTGTCTCAAAAACAAACAAACAAACATACAAAAAACAAACAAAAAAACACTACCATAAACCCCAAAGAGTCCATGTAACCAATAAGTCATAATTTTTTTTTAGTTAAAAGATCAC